ACGAGCTTGCCCCGCACTAATGGACGGTCAGACTCTGGGTGTCTTTACTGCACACAGACGCTGGGAGAAGCAAAGCGCTCAGGAGAGAAACTCCCTCACCTCCACGTTTCAGGCAGGGGCAGGACCAGAACCCACATTCTCCAGCAAGGGGGGCTTCGCACACCTTCCCTGGCCCCCAGGCCTGAAGCTTCTGAACCTACCTTTAAGGTCCGGCACACTGAGCCTTGTCCAAGAGACTGAGCAGCAGGAAGTGCCGAGTCTAATAGGGGAGACCAGTTCCTGTTTGGGGGAAACTCTCAACCCGATGGCAAAATATCAGAGAATGACTGAAATGACTTTCTTTAATGTGGGCTTTCCGGTAAAATATGGATGAGTGTTATTGTGTAATTGTATTGTAAACAGCAATAATAATGGCTACCATCTATTAAATGCCTATGGTAGGCCAGATGCCGTCCGAAGTTCTTTTATGCATTATCTCATTTAAATGTCTCAACAGCCTTTTGAAGTGAGTATATTATTACCCCTATCTTCTGGATGAGGTAAGTGAAGTTCAGAAAGTCTGAGGTCACACAGAGGGTGGGTGAGTGGTGGGGTCAGAACTTGAACCCAGTCTTACCCTTAGCCACTATGTATCTATACTTCACTACCGTTAACTTAAATCCTTCTTGCAGACAAATACCCTCAACAGTGCACAGTCTTTCCTTGTCGAGCTTAATTGCGAAAAGGATGCACGTGGGTCCAGTGGAGAACGGTGATGGAGAAGGGAGACGGGATGAGTAGCTTCCAGGACCCTGGGCCCAGCCAGAATGTCCTTTGGTGGTGGGGAGGAGCCTGATGACTAAGGCCAGATGAGGGACTAGTTTCAATCATTCTCAGGACACAGAGAATTTCTTTCTGAACCTGGGTGATACCTTCAGATACTGCCGAAAATACTCCGGGCGTAACTGAGGGGCTGGAAACGCCAAAGGCAGGACCCAATCATCTCTCATGACTGTGGGCAGAGAAATCTGCCCACACAACCTCTGGGCACAGAGGGCAAGAGCTCTGCATACTCGGTTCACTCTCGGTGTGAAGCCCTGCTCTTCCAAACTCAAAGTGTTCTGTTTAGGACAAGTGTCTAAAGCGCACCTGCCTTCAAGTGTGAGCAAATACAGGATTCTTTGTTTCTCTCCCAACGTTCCTGCCAGGGCACTTTGCTCCCCGCTGTTAAAACTGTTATAATGCTTGTCTGTTTCCTTCATCTCGATTCTCCGGCAATCCCCACATTGTAAGGTGCTCAGTAAATCCAGAATTACTTAAATGCATGAAGATAACCTCAAAGATCGGAGGAGCAGCGGTCTCCACCCAGCAATGGAGATCTTTTTCAGCGGTCTTAACCCATTGCGGCTGGAGAGGCCCAAGCACGGGGTGCAGAGATTGCCGGCCAGTGACTCTCTCTCGGGGCCAAGTTTACCCACCACCCCCCTGGGGGGACGCGCTGCCCGCCCCAAGGAGGCTGGCCTCACCAGGTCCTGAAGGCGCAGAGCCTTCTGTCCCTCTATCCAAGGGACAGCCTGGCGAGTCCACCCCACAGCTCTCGCCCCTCCCGGATCCGCCAACTCCAAGTTCTAGGAGAGGAGATCGGCCTTCAGGAACAGTTTCCACAAGGGGGCGCTGAAAGGGAGCGGGAGGACAGAGTCATCACCTAGGGTAGTGGAACCCAGGTCATCGGCCAGACCTCGGCTCCCTCCCCTCAAAGGTTCCTCTCACTGGCGCCCCCCTCCCTCCTGCATCCCATTCCACCTCCCCTACTTTCTTCATCCTGCCCCCGCCAGGCCCCTCTTGCTCCTGTTTGCCTTTCTCAGTCAAGGGGAGAGAGCATCCGAGTGGGAGGCAGGTTTGGCCCGAATCCCGACTCGGCCACTTCACAGTTGGGTGGCCTCGTCCCCAGCGCGCAGCCTCCTCACGCCGGCCCGGGAAAACGGACCAGTCATCCTACCTACTTTGGGTAGAGCAGGCGCTCAGGAAACTTCAGCTTCCTGCCCGCATCCCGCCCTCGGCTCCTTGTGTTTCCCTCTTCTCTGCTCTCCCACAGCTTTTAAAAAAGATCTCTCCCTCCTGCGCCCTTTCTTCTCTCGGCTTCGCAACAGCGGCCAAACCTCAGAATTGAGCAATCGTGAGCGCCCACCCGGGGCCTAGGGGCGCTCCGCCACGGCCGCGCCCCACCCCGCGGTCAGTGTCTCCGGGAGTGCACCTCGCCTCAAAGGACCTCGCCCGCCCCTGGTCCAGTCCCCTCCAGTCGTACCACCCCGACCCGCGCCACCAGCAGCCAGCCGAGCGCCCCAAGCCACCCCTTCAGGGCCTCAAGGACCGGGCGAGGTGGGGCATGCCGGCCAGGGCCATGCCCGGGTGGCCGAGGGCACCCAGAGGGGCGGCAGGCTCCAATGCCAATGCCGCGAGCGCCAGTCCGACCGCAGCCCGAGGGCAAAGCTGCAAATAGCCGCGGTTTCCATCCTGGGCTTTGCGTCCCTCCCGGCCTTCCGGATCTTTAGGATTTTCTCTGCCTTCTTCCTGCCTCCCTGTCCTCTGTCCCTAAGGCCCCTGCCACCTCCCCGCTGTGCACCCACCACATCCTGTGCCTACCTACGCGGGATGGTCCCTGCGCTGGTGGGGATAGAGACAGGCTCCGAGGCCCAGGGCTCATAATCACAAAAATGAAGTTGGGATTGGGTGCATACTATGCCCTGTGCAGAGCTCTCTCTGAATTTTTTTCCACCAGCTAGTGAGGGGTGGCCCCAATTTGCAAATGGAGAAACAGGCTCAGAGAGACTCCCGAGGTCCTGCGTCACCCAGTTTGCGCACACACAGAATTCGAAGCCCTGACCCCTTCCCGGAGGCTCACGCCGTTGCCCTGCCTGCAGCCCTGTGTTGCTTGCCCCGGCAAGAGGTGGGAAGCAGCTGACCCGGGTTCTGGATGCCGGTCTGTCACCAGTTCTCAGCACAAGGTGGAGCAAGCCCACCTGCTTCAGTTTCTACATCTGTAAAACAAAAGAGATGAAAAGCAAAACTCTGTTCCCTGTGAAGAAGAGCAGCGGAAAAGCCAAAGGGGAATGTGAGGCATTAAGCACCCTGCCTTTGGGAAGGTCCTTGGGAGGCTGAGTGACTGGCACCTGCAGCGTTGAGACAGACCCACAGACCAGGGGTGGCTGTGTTAGACCAGGGCTTGGCCCGGGAATTTGCACGTTAGCAAATGCAGGGATGCTGAAGCCATCAGGTTTGGGACCCACCAAAGAGAGTTCTGGAAGGGGAGAAGGTGGCGTGTGGGGTCAACCTCCTCAAACCTCCACACTTGCCCTTATTCATCTCTGCCTTCACTAGCCTGGACTCAGAGTGACTGCACATGTCTTAAGGACCTACTGTGTGCCAAGTATACATGTATGACAGCTCACTCTTGGACAGCTCATGGCACAACCAAACACCATATGGCAGACTAGTGGGGCTGCTCTCAGCCTAGCCGGCCACTCTGGGAGAAATGGAACAAAGCGCCTTCCCGCAGGGGTGGCGCCAGGTTGTGCAGCCCAGAAAAAAGCGCAAGGATGGTATTCCACCTCCGTTCTCCGCTTCTGTGGCCACCCTGGGCAGGACACTCTCACTGCAGACTAGGCGGAGCTACAACAGATATATATGTGAGAGAGACTTGAGAAAGCCCAGGAAAGAGGCCAAATAACTCTTGCTGGAGTTAGGAATAGACACAGAACAACTTCACTGAGGAGGTAACGATTGAGCTGGACTTTTTAGGGTAGGTGAACATTCACAAGGTGGAAAGGGAGGTCCAGGCAGAGGCCAGCAGCCGAGGCCACAAAGCCTGAGAAATCTCAGCCTGCCCTGGGGCAGGGAGCGGCCACAGGGCAAACTGGGAGGGGGCATGCCCTTCCCTCGTCCCCATCTCTACGCCAGCACTAACTGAACACAGCCTATCAGGGCACCTGAGGTTTTCTCTCCTGCACTGAGAACCTGGAGCACGGCTTACTCACCTTCTGCGGCCACACGCCTCTCATCCAGTGTCAATAATGATAACAGTAATAATAGTTAACAGGTATTAAATATTTACCATCACACTGTGCTAAGTGCCTCATGTGCATTATCTCATTTCATCCTCAGACAACTTTGGAAATAAGTGCTATTATTAATCCCACATTACAGATGAGAATTCTAAGGCTTGGAGGGGCTAAGTAACGTGCCAAAGGTCACATAGCTATTTAGTGGTGGCACGAGGGCTGGAACTAAGTGAAGAAGGGCCTGGAGTGTCATGTCAGGGAGCTTGAACTCTATGCCAGGGACGACGATGGGGGACATTGGAAGTTTGTAAGCACGAAAACAGGTCAGCGAGGGCTTTAGAAAGATCACTTTGACAGCAGGGACCAATGGCACTTGACAGGAAGCCATTTACCTGGCAAATCCCAACTCCCGCCTGTGAGGAGCCTTACTTTGCTAAGCACCATGTTATTTCTCTTAGGGTAAGACCTGTGTCACTGTGCACATGCAGGGACTCTTGATGGAGGGGACACAGGGGAAGCAGGGCTCAAGTGACAGGAAGAGGAGACAAGTGGTGGAATCCCGGTTACAGGGAGAGGCCTCCTTTAAATGGGAGCAGAGCGCAAGGGAAGTGCCGTACAGTATTCCTCCCCATGTCCGAGATGACAAGCCTGCCCCCACCCCAGGCTTCCAGCCAGGAAGCTGGAGGCCTCAGGTCCCATACACTGCCCCATTGTGCACCTGCCACCAAAGGGAATGCAGCCAAAGTTGAGGCTGCTGTCGCATCAAAGAGCTAAGCCCCAGGATCGAGTGCTGGGGGAGGTGGTGGGAGCAGTCTGGTCCCTCCTCTAGGTGTCCTGCTGTCATTGGCCTTTCCAGCCAGGGAGGGAGGGGCGTCCAGGAAATGTCCCTCCGAGGTCAGATAAGCTGCAGGGAGAAGTGGGGTAGCTGGCAGGACAAGGAACAGGTGGAACGTCCCTCGTCTACAGGGAAGGAGCCAGAGAGAGGACTGGGCCTGCTGGAGGCGGCGTCTTCAGGCTGAGAGGGACTCTGGGAGGTCCCAGCACAGAGCAGCACCCACCATGCTGCTCTGTCACACCCTGCTTCTCCTGGTGGGGCTGTCTGCGTGCACTGTGGCAGGTGACGAGAAACCGGCACTTGGTGGCACTGAAGCGAGGTCTTGGGTAACCATGACCCTGGAGGTAAATTTGGGGAAAGGCAGGGATGATCCACGGTTGATGGGGCAAAGAATCCCCTCCCTCCATGGCTGCCAGGACAGCAGGCCGTACGTGGCAAGGAGGATTGGATGACACCCCTCGGTAGCTAGGTTCGAGGCTGTGGCCCGGGGCCTGGCTGAGCTCCAAAGGGGCGCATGCTTATGGGAGTGACACACACATGGAGAGACAGACAGAGAGACAGAGAGAAAGAGAAATATTGATTTAACTTATTTAACATACATGTCCTAAATGCCTCATAAACATTAACAAATTAAATTCTCCTATCAGCCTCACAGGGAAACAAATAATTCACAGATAGGGAAATTTAGGCACAGAAAGGTCAAGTCGTTTGTCTAAGGTTATGCACCTTAAAAGCACAATTGCACACCTTGCTTGAGGTCTTATTCTATATACCGGGGTATCAGAGGACATTTTTGGGAATTTTGAAGGGGCATCTTGGGGCGGGGCCCCTGCTCTGTCTCACACGCAGAAAGTCTCATTTCCTGACAAGTGCTGGTGTGACGGCCAATCTCCTCTACTAGACTGACTTGAGTGCTGTCGAGGGGGAGAAATCGAGAGGTTAGGGACCGAGATCCTGCGTCTGGTAGGGGCAGCCAAGATCTTGACCTTGGGGGGCTTCTACTCAGATGGGGGAGACCAACAGACCAAAGACAGCAGGACCAGTGCTCAGGGAAAGCTTCCAGGAGGCTGGACAGAGGGACGAGGCCAAGCCTGGCTCCTAGTCCCAGGATGGTGAGGACACAAGAACACCCACCGAATGAACAGCCATTCATGGTGGGTTTCCTTCATGGTTTGTCTAAACATGGAAGTGTTTGTAGTCGAGAAAGTAATTGGATGGGGGGGGGCCTGGGTTCAAGCCTCAGCTTCTCCACCGACTCTGCGTGACCTTGGGAAGGTCCCTGCTGCTCCCTGAACATCAGTTTCCTCACCTGTAAAATGAGGGGTAAAGACCCTGCTCCCTGGGTATGTTTCAAGCTTCACAGAGTCTGTGCCCAACACCAGGGACCTGACCCAGGCCCGGGGCAGCTGAGCCTTGCTGGAGAGCTCTCGCTGCGGCCACACAGGTGTTGCTGGGATTTCTACCAGCAAACCCCTCACCTTGCAGCCAGGTGTACTGTTTATTCTCCTTTTCTCTCATTTAACATCCCTCTGCTTCCCCAGACCCAGGGCTTAGAATACAGGAACCATGAATGGGAGTGGGGCGATGGAAGGAAAGGAGGCACTGTCACGGATCCTCCGGTCCCCTCCCTAGCTCGCAGGTCCCCCTGCCTGCAGTTAGCCCTGAAGAGGGTGAATAAGGAGAGGGCTCGAAGGGGCGCAGAGTCCTCCCTGGGTGAAGGGAAGGGTGTCTCCCAAGGGCCCCCCAGAAACCCGGTGGGTGGAAGAAAGGTAAGCCCTATTTAATTTATAAATAGTCATCCTCCGCAGCTTGCAGTTGACAGCTGCCTTCTACCAAGTGGTTTTCATAAGCTTTACAGAAATGGGTCCAAATCTCCAGCGACTTTTCCGGTCCCTGGCCAGGCTGGGCAACTCCGGCCCGAGACAGACGGAAGTGACTGAATTAGTCCAAGTCTTAGGAAAAAAAATCCACTTCTACTTCTGAAAGGCAGGATGAGATTAGCTGAGAGAAGTCCGGGGGTTCCCTCTGTACCCCAGCACTGCCCCTGGGGGAACTGGGGGCGGCAGAGGGAGCCCCTGATCCTGCCCAGCGCTTCAGCCCCCGGCAGGGTGTTCATCACTCTCCCCGTCGCCTGTCTTTGTTCTTCCTGCAAAAGGAGACCCCACTCCCTCTCCTCCTCCCAGGCTGTTCCGGGCTCTGTATCTGGCCAGGCCGCGCTTCTGAGTCTCCCAGGTGCTGCGCCAGGTCCTGGGTACGCAGAGACGTGAAACAGGTCTGAGGAGTGTCACCCACTGTCACTCTCCCGCAGTGAGCCTTTCTTCCTCTTAGCAGGGGCCAGAGAGAGAGAACTTCGGGCAAGGCTGATGGAGGCATGAGAACTTCAGTCCACAGCTCTCGGCCCAGAACTTTGGCCACATTTGCTCAAGGATGAAAATGTGTTTGCCCAGAGCAGTGGCCTCCACCCCGGGCCACGTGCCGTGTTCCTCCTGGCAGGCATGGGCTCTAGGGCAGGGCGAGTCTGGGCCAGTGCAGCAATGCCAAAGGAAGAGGGGAGACCAGAGAGGGGTGGGAGGGGAAGCATCTCACCTTGCCTACTGGGTACCCACCCTGAGTCCGTCAGCTGCCCCCTCCTCGTCTGTTCTGGAGATGGAGCAGAACCCAGGCTCTGAAGCGACACTTCCTGGGTTTGAATCCTGCCTCTGCCACTTGCTGGGAGATCTTGGAAAATCAGTTAACTTCTATAACTGTTTCCCTACCTAGAAAATGGGAATAAATCGTCATCCCTACCTCACCTGGGGGTTGTGAAGAGTAAAGGAAATTACGACCTACACCATCTCTCATTTCCTAGCTGATGACCTTGGACAAGTTATTGAATCTCTTTGTGCCTCGGTGCTTTCATTTATAAAGTGGTGACAATAGCAGTACTTAGTTTGTGGGATTTTAGTGAGGATTAAATGGATTTAATATGTTAAAGTGCTTAGAACAGAGCCAGGGACATGGAAGGTGAAACAGTGGCTATTAATTATTACTGCTGCGAGGTATTTGTAAAGTATGCAAAAGAGCCAGCACAGAGGGACTGTCAGTTACTGAAACTTACCTGTTGCTCAGGCTGCCCCCGCTGCTGCTGCCTGCCAGCCTCCCTCCACCGGTAACTCTAACAAACTCTCTGCTTTTACAGGAAGGTGTGATCCCCAGCATTCAGCTCCAACTTCAGGAGGTGAAGAGGGGCAGAGTGAGCCAGTTCTTTGGGCTGATGGGGAAGCGGGTGGGAGGTGAGTGACAAAGGTGGGTGGGTGGGGTGCCCACGCAGGAGTGATTCTGAGTGGGTTGTCACACCAAGCAGAAGTCCTAGCTTAAAGCCCAGGACTCAGAGTCCGTTACCGCAGGCCAGTAGGGGTCGCTCCAGGGATGGGGTGGGGCAGTGTCCATCTAAATGATCTTCTGAACCAGGACACTTTGGAGATTGTTAATTACGCAGGGTAAACCTGGGCTGTCTCTGGTATGTGGAGAATAGAGCCACCCTAAGGAGAAAGGCAAAGGCTTTGCACCTGCTGGTGGAGCTACAGATCAGCATCGAGGTGTGAGCAAAGCCACAGTCCAAGTTCCTAATTCTGCCTGTTCTGAATAGAATTGTTAAAATGAACCTGTGTTCCCTGAGGGGACCCTCAGTGCAGGAGTCACGTCCTAGGGGGGCAAGGATAAAATAGTCTGGACAGAGCGGTTTTCTCTTTCTTGTCAACACCGCACATATTTTAAGTGGTGCTGGTGAGGGTATGACGGGCCCGGCACTTTCAACCCCCGTCTGTCGGAGGGCATGTTGACCATGGCCATCAGAGTTGGACACGAGCATCCTTTTGACCAAGTCTCGCTTTGGGGAATCTACCCAGTGGAAATTCATGAGCCCTGAGACAGCTGTACCAGAGTGGTCACTGACAACTTATCTGTAATGGCAAGAATTGAGAAATGACATGAAAGTCACCAGTAGGGGGACAGTCAGATACATTCGGCACATCTATCAAAAAGGACGAGACGGATGTGTAGAAAAATGCAGAAAGATCTCCAAGATTCTGGTTCAGTGGAAAAAACAAGTCATATAACGAATGGTGTATATGATAGGGGCCTGCTTGGGATTTTTTGTTTTTTGTTTTAAAGATTTTATTTCTTTCTCTTTAGAGGGGAAGGGAAGGAGAGGGAGAGAATATCAATGTATGGTTGCCTCTCGTGGGTTTCCTGCCTGGAACTGGCCCAGGCATGTGCCCTGGCTGGGAATCGAACCACAATCAACCATGATCCTCTGTTCCCAGGCCCGTGCTCAATCCACTGAGCTACACCAGCCAGGGCTGTTTTGTTTTTTAATGGCATACAAATACAAACACATACACACGCATAGGGAAAGTTCTAGAGAGACAGCCATCAGACCGTCAATAGTGATTACACTGAGCATAGGAAGTGGAGGTGAGAGAGAGAGTGAAGAGGGGCTTCCACTTTTACTGTACAAGCCTCTACACTACTTGATTCTTTTTATAGTAGGTAAGTATTCAAAGACTGCTTTTATAATTAAAAATATACATGTAAAAATAGAGAAAACCAACTCGTGACATACACTTTTGGCTATTGTGTCCTCCTCAAGAAAACGACCTTGGGACTGGGCCATTTCGGAGCTCTCTTCCAAATCCAACGCCCCTTGAGAAGCAGAGGATGGGTGTGTGAGAGGCATATTTATTAAGCACCTACTAGGCTCACGTGTGATTAAACCTTGTAACCACAGCCCCTTCACCATGAGCAAGGAAACTAAAGCTCTGATAGGGTAAATGCCTTTCAAGGATGCCCAGCCAGTGCCAGGTGCCAGTGCCTTCCCCTCCTCCATGCTGCCTCCTAGGAGCAGCCAAGTGGCTCAGCCACAGGGGACAATGGGAGTGGCCGGAGTTCCACTGAAGACCCATCACAGGCACTGAGCCCCGGAAGAGCCAGGAGCCCCTCCCACCGCACCAGCCCGAGGGAAGTGATGCAGCCCTCATTCCTTCTTTCTCTTTTCCCCAGGGGTGCCTCCTATCCAGCCAGCAAGAACAAACGGGTACGTGTTATCCAGACCTTTCCCTCAGCATGCTTTCCCAGAAGGGTCCCGTTGTCCGAGCCATGAACAAGTCAGGGAGGTGGGGGAGGAGCTCTGGCCAGGGGCGCATGCGCCAGGCTGGCCATTACCAAGAGTGGGGCCACGTGCTCGGCTTCCTGGTCGTTTCCTCTGAGGGGTGGTCTGCGCATGCCTAGAGAGTAGGTGCAGGGATAATAAAGAAATGGGATGAATCCAGCTCTGCCAAAGACTCAGAATTACCTTGGGTAATTTTCACCTAAAGCCTGCAACTGGAAAAACTAATCAATCTATTTCCCACCTTGCAACCTCAAAGATCTTAAAAGTACAAATCTGAGCAGCCAGTAACCTGCCAAAAATCTTTTGGTGAAAAGGGAAAAAGAAAACCAGCCAAGATTTACCTACCCTCTGCCTCCCTGCCTCCACCCCACTGCTCTCAAACCAATGCCCTAAAAACTCACCACCTCCCCAGGGCTGCCCTCTCTGACATGGCTCTGAGCTCCATCTCTCCTTCCCTGACCACCTGCCCTACCCAGAGGGAGCTGCTCTCCATGGGCATAATGCTGTTCTTGGCACACCACACTGTCCCGCTGGGTCACAAGGCTGGGGGCTCCAGAGTGGAGACCCTCCCACAGTCAAGTAGCAGGTCTGCCCTCTTCTCTGTATCCACAACACGCAGCGGTTTCTGTAAGAGGTGCCCAATGGGTGTCTGGGGAAAGAAGGGCAGCAGAGAGGGAGAACGGAGAAGGAATCAATGAATGAGTCAGGGAGGCAGTGAACCAATCCAGGCTTTTTCCTCAACTCACAGTGATTGAAAAATGACTCCATCTATGAGGCCCCAGCTCCAGCCCCATCCCTTCCCTCCGTGGTTCCCCACGAAGACAGCCTTCCTCTGCTGTACTTTCTCCTCCTCTCTCTCCCTCTTCTCTCCACCACCAGGGCATCAGCGAGGACAGATGGTCCAGGACCTCCCAAGCAGGAGAGGACCATCTACGGAAGGTAGGTGAGAGTCTCTAGTGGGCTGCAAGGGCATCCCAAAGGGACAGATACTTTGCTGTCAGTCTCAACAGGGACTAGAAAGCAGGACAGAGAGAGCGGGCTCCCCACAAGCTAGGCGGAGGCCCTGCAGAAGAGAGCAGTCAGGGTACAGGGAGGAGTCCCTCGGATGATGCAGGCCCAACACAGCTGTAGCCCTGACGCTGCGCCCTCTCCACCAGCACACCAGGTGCCCTCTGCCCCCAGCTCTCGGGGCCAGCTGGAGCCACAGAGAACGATGCGGTTTCCCAGACCCTGAAGCACCCCACTTCTCCCTTAGTCATTGATCATTAGAAAGCCGTGCCTTTAGTCTTAACATATTTTCTGTCTTCAGCAATTAATTGTACCAAGTGCAAATCACCCTCAGAGGGGAAGCACCCTAAGCAGCTATCAACTAAGACCACACACCAGATGGGTCAAGGGTATGCACAGTAAAAGAACAGGCATGCAAGTAGGTAACGGAGTCAGCCTGGGGGAGTGATCAAACGCTCAAGCCAGCCCTGGCCAGCGTGGCTCAGTTGGTTGGAACCTGAAATGGCATGAGTTCCATCCCTGGCCAGGGCACATGCTTAGGTTACAGGTTGGGTTCCTGGTCTGGGTACATACAAGAGACAATTGATCAATGATTTTTTCTCACATCAATGTTTTGCTCTATCCCTCTCTCCTCCCTCCCCACCTCACTAAAATCAGTAAGTATGTCCTCCAGTGAAGATTTAAAAAAAACTCAAGGTAGCCCACACAAGACAAGGGCAGAGGGTGTCCTAACCAGTCAGAGACCCTGAACTCCAGTGTACCTTTGCTAAGGCCTGGCCTGTTCCCCAGGAGCTGCAGACTTCTGGGCCCCTCTCTCGCTTTCCTAGCAGAACACCTACTCCTTCCAACATAGGCTCTTGGGAAGAAAGACGGGGTGTCCTCTATTTTCCCCTAAGATTTTTTTCCTAAGTGTTTGAGCCATGGTTCTATTTAAGGACCTTGGAAGTCGCTGCAATGCCAACACAGAAATGAAGGTCCCTCATGCAGAGTGTGGGCAGGAATGTTAAGTCATTTTTCAGGGATGGAAAGCAACTTGCCCAGAGTCTCACAGTGAGCTCATAACAGAGCCAGGACCAAAAGCTGTGTCTCATGTCTCCTTGTCCAAGGCACTTTCCAGGTTCCTAGGAGGGCCTTTGGGATTTTAAACACTGTATTACCATGCCCCCTCCCTCAGATAGGATAACCCAGTGTTGGCTCCGCCCATATTCTAGAGGCACATACCACACCTAATGGAAGCCGGGAAGATGGACCTGTAATTTGATTGCCCTAGCTATCTGCAGCCAGAGAAACAGGTGTTAGAGGAATGGAGGGCTTTAGGTGGAGGGACTCGGGAAGGCCTCCAAGGGTGGGGGGGGCCAGGCAAGACTTTCCAAACCACTGACCACGTACAAAACTCTTCCCAGGCAGAGAGGGTGAGGAGCACGGGTTGGAGTGAGAGCCCCCATCACATGCTGCCCGGAGGATGAAACCCCTTCTCCATACCTGGACGTTACAGCTGACCAGCCGGCCAGGCCAACTCGTGTGTGTGTCCCGTGTGCAACACTGGCATGTCCCACCAGGCTCGCAATGAGCTCCATGGGGTTCCTTCCAGGACTCTCGGTCTCAAGCAGCGGTCGCACAGAACGTGCGCTGTTGTCGCGGTCTCGAGCTGGAGCCCCCTGGTCTCCCTCAGCACTCGGAGCTCTTCCTTCACTGCACGGCAGCATCGAGTCTCACCCCCTTCTCTATCTCTTGTGCCCAGAACATAGCAGGGGCTCAATAAATGAATGAACAGTCATGGCTTCTTCTCCACTATAGGGCTGAGAGCAGAAATGGCCTGGGCTAGGCACCGTGCCCAGTAGCTTGTCACATCAGCAGGCCAGAAGGCCTTTCCCAGAATTGCAAAGGGCAATATTAAAGAGCCCTGGTCCCTACCCTGGGGGGGGGGGTATAGGTTTGCAACACAGGTAAGGACAACAGCCCCAGCCTGAACATAGATAGCCACCTATGGCTATCTATGGGAGCCACTTCTCCCTACTCGCAGTCCCGATCCCAAGGACCCAAATCCATGTGTCTTCTCACTTGGAGAAGAATTGGGTCCCGGGTCCCTCAGCTTGTATAAGACAACAGTTAGGACACAGGCGATCGGTTAGTCCCTGAGCATCCGGAAGAGCTCCAGAGGAATGAAACACTTCCCCCGCTCAGGGAGCCCCCAGCCTGATGGGGAGACTACTGTGCCTGTCTCGGTGGCTTACAGGCGAGACACAGAGGACCCCAGGTTGCTCAGAAGGGGGCACATCACCCAGAATAAAGTCCTAGCGGGCAAACTTTGGTAACAAACATCAAGCTGTTGAATGAGTCGGGCACTTTGCGGGTTCAGCAGTAAAGGAGATTCATTATTTCACTAGGCTATATAACATTGACCTTTTCTGTATCTGTCTCCAAAAAGGAGGTAATAGGTTATAAGTGTTTGGGGGCATCTGATTCTTGGGGGAAAGGGAGTGTGGCACTAAGCTGTTTAAAAGGAAGGGAACATGGGGGAGGAGGAGGCATTGGTGGAGAGAGCGGAACTTGCAGGTGGTGCCAAGGGTGTTAGACAAGCAGAGGCCGAGGAGGCCAAATGGGGCCAGCACAACCAGCAAGGTTCTTCTGTTCAACCTGCAGTGAAATGGTCTGTCTTAAGGCTGTCATAAGCCCTGAATAAACCCCAAGCCTCTTTCCTCCACTCCCACACCTTGCCCTTGTCCAGTGAGAAATATGGTAAGCGGGAACCGCACTGCAGAACTGCCCATCACTCCTGACCTCCTGCCCCACCAGGCAGCCCGCTGTCTTCTCTGGCTCACCCCACCCTGTGCTGTGGTCAGTACCAGGAGGTGGTTCACTGATGACCCAGCTTGAAGGATTGGCAAGAGGGTTAAAGATTTTATTCCTGTGTGTGAAGTTTGGGATGTTTAGAAAAAACTATATTCACCGGTTATTTAGTGAGTGTCCTCTATGCGCCAGCACTTCACTGGAAACCCAGGTGGGACTGGGTGTGTGAAATAAACTAGAATTTGTCCCCGAAGAACTAACAGCCTTCTAGGGCAGTCGAGATGGACCTGCTCTGGGCGAAGGCCACGCCCTGCTCTCCACTCATCTTCCTCAATCCCACCTTGTTCACTCAAGCTTCTGGTTTCTGCCCATGCCGTTCTCTTCCCATCCTGGTGAATTCTTTCTCCCTCAAGGTCAAGGTCTCCGAAACGCTTTCCCAGCCCAGGCACTAAATGCTGGCTCCCCAATCTGAGTTGCTGAAGCACACTGCGATCTCTCATTATAGCACTTTGTATGATGCTGTTATAATGCTTTATCTCTCTTCAAGTACGTGGAGCACGCCTTCCTTATCTTTACTCCGGGGCCAACAATAGTGCCTGGCACCTAATACTGTTTTGACAAAGGACTTTCACTCCTGTCCTCGGGGTGCCACAAAAGGAGCCAAACTTAACACAAGTAACCAAAATAAGTAATAGCAGCTACTGGTCATGGAACACATGACCCATAGTTCTCAAACATATCCAAACACTTAACCCTTGACCCCCTGCCTCGAAGCTCCTCCTGTCGTTGGCGTCTCTATAAATGGCACCTCTGTGTACCCAGCTGCCCAAGCCAGAGCCTGAGAGTCACCTCTACTCCTCATTCCCCACATTTAACACCTCCCCTGGTTGTTGGTTCTTCCAAAACCTATCTCGAATTCATCTTGCCACCTTCACTACCACTGTCAATACAAGCCATTGTCAGCCCTCGCAGCCGCCTCCTGACCTCCTTGCTTCCTTCTCACTGCCAGACCCACCCTAATTTGTTCCCCATCCAGAACAGGGCCTTCTAATACGTCCATTCCAGCCCCTACTGCCTACCGCATGCACAGTTTCCTAGGATAAACCCGACAACCTTGCCCAGGCCTCCAAGGCCCTGTGCTCTGGTCCTTCCCCCTCAGCTGCCTCACTCACCCATCCCCAGGCTTTCTCTCAGGTGCCCACCGTACACCCTACGCCCACCTGCCTACCGCGGGGTCTCCCTTCAGGCTCTCCTGCCTGAACCCTGCCCCGGCCCTTTCAGGTCCCGGGATAAAGGCCTTCCTTGCAGGGCTTCCTTGATAACCAACCTCTCCCTTCAGTTATGCTCACACACCGTGTCCTTTCCCATTCATAGCACTGATCACAACCAGAAATCCTACACACTTGTGTCCCCCAGGAGGTCGCAAGTTCTGCATCTTTCAGGCACCACTAAACATCCAGTTTCCAAATGGTCCATGAAAAAAAATATCTACACATCAGCCACTCTGCAAGACAATTTACCTTCATAAGTACTATCATTCTATAGATGCCTGAAGATACAGGGGAAATGGGAGGGTCAGGGTTTGAGCGCAGGTGCCTTCACTCCAAACACATGTAACTCTTACCCTACTTGCTCGGTCTATGCCATAACCATACATGTAAGTCCCAGGTGGAATTGTAAGACTTCATAAGAAATTCCTTTTCAGCTGGGCCTACTTGAATAGGTAGGAAAGAAAGTTCCAAATGTCCGCCGCATCCCCCCACCCCCCACCCCTGCCCTGCCACCTACGCACACAGGTTTCTTAAGAGGCTCCTCCCAGGTCAAATCACTCCAGACTCTGAATTTTCTCTCCTTCATGGGAGTCCCAAGAGGGAGGTTTTAAAAGACCCAGAAATCAAGAAACACACTGATATCCAACTTAAACTCCTGTTTTCCAAGCACCCCTCATGCCCACACTGCCTTGTGTTCAATGGGACGCACTTTGGGGAACGCTGAGGTGGAAGGCTTCCCAGTGGGTACGGGGAAGGGGCAGCGGCTAATCTAGTTGCCCAGTGAAGCTGTGTGCAGGGGTGACGAGAGAAAGCTGTGTAGATTCAGTCTGCTCATGGAGACTTGAAAACCAGAATGTGAACTTAACCCAATGAGCAAACAGGCAGTCATGTCAATTCTTTTTTCTCCAAGGACATTTTTTCATTGCTTTTAGAGAGGGAGGGAGACAGGTAAATGACACAATTGGCTACCTTCTCACACGGGTCCCAATGGGGGATCAAACCTGCAACTTGGGATGTGTCTTGACCAGGAATCAAACTTGCGACCTTTTGGTCTACAGAACAACACTCCAACCAACCGAGCCACACAGACCTATGTCAATTCTTGAGTTGGAAAGTGGTGAGCCACGTCTCAAGACTAGGGTAGTCACCTTTCCTTATCCAATTCCATAAGGAGGTAGCCAAGAATTCTAAGGCTAGGTAGGGACCTCAGAAGCCATCTGATGGACAAGCGAGATGTTCTGAGTGAAGTGGCTCTGAGGGCGCCATTATATGAAATATGAAGCGTGCCCCCTGGAGTCACACAAAGCGGTGGGTGCCCCTTGCCTGGGCACATCTGGCTTCTAATCACAGGCAAGTGTTAACAGCCAAACTGAGTACCAGCCCTTTGGTTTCAACAGTGCTCTTCCTTCACGTACCCACTGCCTGCTAACACAGCATTTCTCACAGTTCTCTACGGGGGAGGCCCCACTGAATGTTTCTTTAGCTTCACGCGCTATCCATCCACAGCACCCCCATGGGAGGCTGTACTCAGCTGGCATCTGTGGTTTTGATGCTGCTGGCTGCAGCATTTCCATTCTCCTCCACGTGGTTTCTCCTATATGGTCCCTCACAAAACACACTCAGTTCGGCTCAAACTCCTGGTTTGGGAACCTGTCAGCTGGTTTATAAGAGCAAAAGTGGAAACTTCCAAAATATTACTTCGCCACATTTAATTAGCCAAAAGTCCAGCCCAAACTAGAGATGATCTACCACACCTCTGTTGAGATAAGAGCGTAGGTTCCTAATAACTTTGGAATAAATATGAAGTGAGTTATTCCCGGAAACAAACACCCAGTTAAGAAAGACTGGCTTCCTGGAATGACCATGATGTGTCAAGAACAGAGGCGTTTCTCTCGCACAGAGAACATCTGAGAGGGTACCAGGGCCACGGTTGTGCAATAGCACGCTATTTTCTCCATGCACGGGGACAAACTAACCCCCCCGACCCCGCAGCAGCAGCATGACCTGCATCTGCAGGGACCACACATGGCAGAGGCCAACGGCCATGCCAGCACTGGGGCCATTGCTCACCAGTGGGCAGCCCTTTCTTTCCCCCGCAGCCACCTTTATTGGCATTTTGTTGAAGATACCACAAAGGAAGTGGGCAATTATACTGCCCCAACAGTAGGAAATGGGCTGGAGGAGAGGCTGTCTTACAAGCTGGCAGCAAAAAGTGCTGATGCAAACCAGTGGAGACCCAGTTCTGTAATTCCACGATCCCAACACATAGCCAAAGGTAGTTTCTAAAATTCTAGAATTCCTGGCACTTAGTTTCTTCTCACCAACAAGCAAAACCCCTGAACAGTGTTTTGTGCACCTGTGAGGCCATAAAGGAAACATGCCGAGAGCCAGCAAGGCAGGCCTCTCCGTAGTTATCACGTCCCCTCACTTAACCAGGAGGTTA